CAGGTAGTGAACGGAGTACCTGAGCAGGTAGAGAACAGAGTACCTGAGCAGGTAGTGAACGGAGTACCTGAGCAGGTAGAGAACAGAGTACCTGAGCAGGTAGAGAACAGAGTACCTGAACAGGTAGAGAACAGAGTACCTGAGCAGGTAGTGAACGGAGTACCTGAACAGGTAGAGAACAGAGTACCTGAACAGGTAGAGAACGGAGTACCTGAGCAGGTAGTGAACAGAGTACCTGAACAGGTAGAGAACGGAGTACCTGAACAGATAGAGTACAGAGTACTTGAACAGGTAGAGTACAGAGGGTTTCCTGGTACTTTAAGTTCCCATCAAACCTCAACTCAGATCAGGTTCTTTGAACAAACCTCCTCATAGTTTTCCGCCCAGCTGTCGTAGAACTGAACACAAAGTTTTGGATCAGAAGTTTTAGAGGCCTGAAATGCGGCCCTGGCATCAAATTCAGTTCTGCAGGAGTCGGACATGATGAGGAGGAGATCCTGCAGGAGACAGACCATAGACATGATTATAAGATATGTTATTGTCACATAATGAAACTGTCAGAGCAATCAATATGAAGTCAAAGATACTGTAAGATAAGAGATCAGATAAACCATTAAATAAATATAGTAGATAAAATGAGGAATTCGGCTGTTGCAGCAGCAAAAAGGACATAAATAAGCACAGATACATAGAGAAGTATAATATTGACGATCATGTGTTCATACAGCAACATAATAGAAATATAATACAGTATGTAATGTAGTATTGTATTACAGTATAGTGTAGAGTAATATGGTGCAGTATAAAGTGGAATAAAGTCCAAATGAAATAGTAGAGTAAAACACAATATCAAATGTAATATAGTAAAGTATAATGAAGCCTAATATAATATAATACAATACAAAATAAAGAAAATCTGATTTACTGCAGTTCATTTTCATCCGTAGTCTCAGTAAATACTTTCAATGTTGGTTAGTTGAAAAAGAAACATCTTCCCAACTGACGCCTCTTAGTGGTCAAACTAACAAAGACACAGAAACACATCAGACACACACTCCATACCTCGACCTCAGAGGGACATATTGTACTTTATACTGTACTACATCTCAGAGGTACATATAGTACTTTATACTGTACTACACCTCAGAGGTGCATATTGTACTTTATACTGTACTACATCTCAGAGGTACATATAGTACTTTATACTGTACTACATCTCAGAGGGACATATAGTACTTTATACTGTACTACACCTCAGAGGTGCATATTGTACTTTGTACTACACTACACCTCAGAGGTACTTATTGTACTTTTACTACACTACACCTCAGAGGTACTTACTGTACTTTTACTATACTACACCTCAGAGGTACATGTTGTACTTTTACTACACTACACCTCAGAGGTACATATTGTACTTTTACTACACTACATCTCAGAGGTACATATTGTACTTTTACTACACCTCAGAGGTACATATTGTACTTTTACTACACTACACCTCAGAGGTACTTATTGTACTTTTTACTGTACTACATCTCAGAGGTGCATATTGTACTTTTTACTGTACTACATCTCAGAGGTA